TAACAGAAGAAAGTGGCGATAATGGAGACTACTTTCCACTATTTGGGTGGGACTTGGTGCAAAGAACTTTCCGTCCCTTGGCACGTCGTCGTCTTAAAATAGCTCTTCCACCTGGTGTGCTCATTCGTTTGCGGAAACCATGAGTGCGTGCCAATGATTTTCTTGATCTGTTTCTCTTTGTCTGACAAAGAGCAGCCTTGCCTGCCCTCACAACCAACCCACCACCTTTTCCTCTTCTCGCCCCAACATTAGATGTCAACTCCAATCCAAGTGATAACCCTTAACATTCACAATTTACTTCACATCAACAACAACTCCTATGCTCATATGCAAATTAAACAAATCTGTCAAACAGTTCAAACCCTGTCAACTATTACTAACAATTCTAACAACTCTAGTTTTCCGCCCTCTCTCTATCTTTATTTTTTGCTAAGTTAATTACTGTGAAGTTTCAATGCCAAAATATGTTGAATTGTAACCATAGATTGAGTTATTGCTCTAGTTCTTAAATGCTATCAACCATGTTAATGAAAGGATGCCATTGACATATTCTTAACGGATGCAAGCTCGGAAAAAGAAGAAAAAAATAAACTACCCAAAGATACTAAGAATTTAAATTGTACTCTGTCTTTCTAAATTTTGTGAGTCAATTTCTAAAGGACATTTGTCTCTTATTCTAACAGAAAATATTCACAAGTTTAACAATGACAGATAAGATCTATATGTAATCTTTGAACCATACTGGGCTCATTGGAGTCTCTTCTCCATCACAACCTACCAAAATCCTTTGAGCAAGGAGGATTAATAAACTCAACCTCCATATCAGTAAACAAACCAATTAAACCATAAAAGTTCTGGAATCATTTGTTCTTATGTTATTATTGGTGGTCAAGTCTGATTTAGAGTTTCCCAGCGTAAAAACGAGTAAATTTAGCAATATATAAGTGAAAAACATTCACAAATGCGTCTTTAGAATTTTCAATTATGGATGGTATCATGGTGTCCAGTTTGTTACCACACTCAAGGTACTACTATAACCAGATCACAAATCCTTAGAGTGAGAAGAAGAAAGAATTTCATTACAACAACTAAAAACATTGCCACACTCATTCAGCATCTTAAAAATTGCCATTCAGGGATACTGGTATGTATAGTCAAGTTCATAGGATTTGTTCAGTCTGGATAACATATTCAGACTTCAAAGCTACTAATTGCATTTAATCCGAAAACCCAAAGGTTAAAAATGCATGCATTTTAAACTGGTATTATTGTTCTAAACAGTGATAAAAGGCTTGTTATGGTACTCTTGTACTACATAAATATATTTGCTTGGCTTCACTTACAACCCATTTCATCGGCAAGTGGTGGCATCAACTCCTACAAGCTTAAATTGACACAAAGAAATCCCTTTGAAAACCCAGAAGAGTAACTTCCGTTCCAAATTGTGTCCATATTCAAGTTAAATTAAACCCAACCACAAAAGCATTTTCTTTCCAAAAACCCTTTAGCAACATAAATCCCTACATCCCTATTAAAACAAAGAGAAATCACTTCCAATTCAAAACTTCCAATTTTCCAACTAGAACGGCTATTAAAAAAATGTTTAAGCATGGCATACCATACATTGACAAGGAAGAATTCAGTACTTCCTAAATAAAACTAACAAAAACAATGATAACCAAGGGACAAGGAAATTCACCAAGAGTAACCGATTTCAAAAAGACCCAGTGTAATTAGCGAAGAATGAGATGGAAGAGAGATGGGAAATAAAGGTGAGGAGTGAGTACCTGTAAAGGAGGAAGAGAGATGGGAAGGAGAGGAGAGGAAGGAAGAATGGAGGAGAGGAGAGCGAACGTTGAAGAAACTGCTGCGGCCAACGTTGAGAGAGATTAAAGATGGTTTTGGGGCAGTGAGAATGAGAGAAGCTGAGGGAGTGGGCGTGGCTATGCAAAGCGATAAGGAAGCCATTATACACCTTTTTGGTTTCTTCACCCTCTGAATCCAAGTTTAACGGAACAATTGGGAGAATATGAATATTTTATTACATAAAGCTAAATTATATATGAAAAATCAATTGGGGATGTAGCTCAAATGGTAGAGCGCTCGCTTTGCATGCGAGAGGTACAGGGTTCGATCCCCTGCATCTCCACTGTTCAAATTTTTTTTTTTCCAATTTTTGCTTAATTATAATTACTATTGTTTCTACATTTGCCAATTCTGTGGCATTATCGCCGAATCAAACATTTGGTTTGGTTTCCTGCCTGTATTTTGAATCTAGGTGCTACTTTTATTTGCTTGCTTCTTCCACTATGAAAATTTCAATACTCTATAGCTGCTAAATTTGGTTATTTTACTGTAGAAAATCTAAATATGAATTTGGTTGGTAAGTCCAAGTTTATAAACAACTTATAATTGGAACTACTTTTTTCTCTTTGAATAGGTCTTTCCCTCTGCTAATGCAGCCGTATTAGAGTGCTTAAAACATTTGAGCAGTAGAGGATTAGATATTATTGTTGATGCAAAACATTAAGCCGTTGCTCAAAAGTCTAACTTTTTATACTTAAACATGGAAATGTGTATTCTTATTTTGGTGCAAATTACTTTGTGACCATCCTACATTCTCAGATTCGCAGGTAGTTGCTGACTCCCTAAGAGATCCTAAAGTGGGTGTAATTTATTTCTGGAACTCACTGATAAGATCTCTACCGGACTTAACACATTCGTACATGAAGTCGCAAGTTAACACCTTATTTCATACCTGACGATAATAATCAACAAAGAGCCGCTGAAATTGTCATCGTTTTTTCTGTCAATCCTATTATATGCATTTACTGTTCGTACTATATCAGAAACATGCACACAAGTTCCAGCAGAAGAAGCTGTTTTTATATTGAGAATATTACTTCAACATTTTTACAGACACAGAATGTGCAACGAATATAACAGACTACAGAGTAACAGAAAAAACTGTTTTTGACTTCATAGTTTTTTTTTTTTAATGGAAAGCTGATTATGTATTTGAATTTAATGTTTGGTTTTGTATTATTGAACCTGAAAAATGTTATGTTTTTTTTTAGTATTTTAATTTTTTTAATATCGTTTCTGTGGTAGATTTATTAGATTAATAAAATGAAAGAAACAAAATAACGTAATTTTATAGAAAAAACTGTTTCTTTCTAGAAAAAGGTTGGCCTGATGATAAACTTGTTAAATAAGTTGATTTATTTTAACAGGACAAAATTCATTCTGAACCATTTAAAATGTGGACTTTAAGGGCAGGACTTTAATCTTGCCTTTGAATAAGAGATTTCACTGTTTTTAAAACATTCAAATAGAACGATTTTGAATTCTTCCAGTTCAAATTATAAATTTTTCAAATGTTTTGTTTTAAAAAAGTAATTAAATTAAATTTTATCATTCTTATAAAGTATTTCAATTGTTAATGTGTACAAAATATATAAATATAAACACTTACTTAAAATATCAATATTAATTTTTTAAAATTTATTTGAGTTCATGTTTTTTTTTAATTAAAGTTCATCTAAATTCTTTTAACTCATGATAGTAAAACTATTTTCTTGAATGATATGGATTAAAATTATTTTTACATGATATTAGTTACAATTATTTAAACTCGTAATTGAGGTTATTTTAGTTGATTTTCAATTACAGGTCCATTGAAAACTTTCTTTAGCTAACATTAATAACAAACAACACTAAGAAATTTTTTATAAACTATGCAAAAAAGAATAATAAGAATAGGGTTTTTATGGATAAAAATAGTCATTACAAACATAAATATAAAAAAATATCAATAATGCGAAACAATAACTTTTTATTGGTTAAAATAATTGTAACTAATACCAAACCAAAAATGATAGTAAAGCAAATAAAAATAATCTTAACAACAAAAAAAAAATTCTATTTACATTAATCAAAAAAACCTACAGTAGATATTATCAATAAAATGTAGTTGTGCCAACCTTAATTAACATTGTTCGATAAATAACTTAAAACCTACATTATGTTGGAAAATTAACTTTAAATTGACATTAATTGAAAAAATATGTCTGATATGAGTTAATAGACACAATTAATGTTGATTAACAAAATTGTAACTTTGGTTGATAAATAACTTTGATTCAACATCATCAATAAAATACCTCTAATAATATCAGTATAATAAAACACACACGGTCAATAGTAAAAAAAATAAACCTTTACCAACATTTATGAAAGAAAAACAATGTTGAAAATATAATATTTAAATCTTCGTCAAACCAACAATATTTTAATTTTAACTAAGTGGAATTTCAATCAAAATCAAATAAAGAAAAAACACACATTTACAAACATAAAGAATGTATAATTTCTTACATTAAAAGATTAAAAATTATCTAATTTTTAATAACCAATTGTTCTTAAAAATTTTATTTCTTCTAAAAAATTTACCTAAACAATGATTTTTTTTAAAGTATTGTAAATTTTCTATAAAAATAAATTACTATTTCATAATTTTCAATCATAGTAAATAATATTTCCTATCTACACATAAATGAGGTTATGTTGTTTACCAAGTATATTTTCTCCCATTAAATAAGAATAGTGATACATTAAATAAGAGTAGTTTCACACCCAAATTTTTTTTATACTCATTTAACATTATCTTTTCTTACCTCTCACTTTTTTTCTTTTATAATATAAAAGTTCACTTTTTCATAACTGTTTTACCTTAAAATAAATAAATATATAAAGATCATTCTAAGTGTACAATAACTAAATTTTAAGGGTGTACTTATTATTTTTTAAAACTGACAATTTCTCTTCTTGTTAACTTCCTTCTCTAAAGAACAAATATATTTTTCACTCACTCTACTTCATTTATCTTTTTTTTTTCCAACATATTTTCTTCAATTTTCTTTCCTTTTCCAACATTGATTATGAGAATTGAAAAGACAACATTGAATATATATTTAAGAAAAATAATTACTTTGAAACATTTTTTACACTTATTTATTTGACATATTATTATTTACTTTCTTATTATAAAAAACATATAAAATGAATATAAATGTGTCAATCCACTATTGTCTTATTTTTAAATAAGAATATTTTAGAAAATAACTTATATATTTAAATGGGAATAATTGACAGAGTAACTTATATTTTTTACAATAAGAATATTTGAGAGGGGAACTAATATTTTTTTAATATATAAGAATATTTGAGGGAGTAAATTATATTTATGAATGCATGTAACAAAAACAAAACAAATTCATTCCAACATAATCCATAAACGACTCATACATTGCTTGATAGAAGAAACCAATAACTTCGAACGTATACAAAATAAGAAGACATAAACCTTGTTTGTAAAAATGGTAAAAACAACAGATACATTAGATTCGAGCCAGACATAGAAAGATCTACGAGATGTTCGAACTCGCCATAATACCATTACACAAACGGATTGGGTAAATTTAATTTGAAACCAAAGTTGGGTAAGAAGCTTGCATAGCGACGCCACAAACACCTCCGGCTTCACCACTTTCCCTCAGCAACTTCATGTATCCCTTCTCTCCCCATCTTTCACCCCATGAATTCTTGATCAACCAGTACTTTTTTCCGTCTTCGGTGGCGCCATAACCAACTATAGCAACTGCGTGGTTCAGCTGAGTGCCGCATGGTCCTTCAAATACATCGCTCTCGTAGGACTGAAAGTTTTGATTAACAGCAACCACTACTGACACGGGTTGGATCGCCACGGCTTGTAGTAGTTGCTCTTCATTATTTTCAGGTACATCTTCATATCCACTTATTTGAGCTGCGAGCTGTGTCGTCTGGCATGTTCCAACAGTTCCTTGGTATGGATAATCGCTTTCAGAAGCAATACCACCGTTTTCTTTGATATAGTTGAATGCATTATCCATGAAACCTCCTTCACACCCCTTGTTATCGTTATCACAGTCCACTAATTGTTGCTCTGAGAACGAGATCAACTTTTTGTTAGTTATTTGGAAAATGCCTTCTACAGCTGCCACGGTTGAAAAGGCCCAACAGCTTCCTGCAATTTAACCATGGGAGTAGACTAATGTCACATGTGAAAGAGATCAAATTATTCAGGAGGTTTTTTTCCTGTAATGCTAATATAAAACAGAAGATGAAGTTGTGATTACATACCACATCGACCTTGGTCCTTAACATCGGTGACGGCTCCTCTCTCTCTCCAGTCCAAGCTTGTTGGAATATCCTCCACATTCAAGGGTGTAGCTGATGTTGAACGTGGTAGGCTTGAGTTCAGCTTGAGTCCTGTGTGTGAAGCGATAAACTCTTCTTCGGTTAAGTCAGAAAATGGATTCAGCCCCAACTTGTAACTCTTGTTCCCAGCATTGTTGAACTTCTCTATGTATTCCAAGTTCTTTTCAAATATTCTGAACCGTTTTCCACTCTCTGCATCATCAGCGTATGTGCGTCCGTATTGGGACTTCCAGTGCTGGAATGCTTCAGCAACAGAAGATTCATACAAAGTTCGGGACATGGCTTGATAAGCACATGTCCACAACATCACAGCACAAACAGCAATGAAATGCTTCATTTGAACTGAAGTAGCCATTTTCTTATAGAGACAGAAGAAGGGATATGTTGTATGAAAAGTGGATATGAAAAGATAGCAGCGATTTGGCATACTTATAGCACATAAAATACTATTGCCTTGCGATAATCTCGGTATGTTTTCTCGTCACTCTAATCATTCCTTTTGCCCTTACGTTGGTGTCTTCTTGTTTATGATTGACGGGACACTGCAATTCAATGTGTCCAATAAATACAGCTCAATCAATTTATGCTTCTTTTATTTTATTTTTTAAAGACAAAATATCTGCAACTTTTATATGACACCCTATTTTAAAGTGAACTTTATTTTACAATCTGTATAATTAAAAATTTAAACCATCAAAAGTAAAAGTCTA